GAATGAGTGAGTCTGTAGAGAGTCTTATTGGAAAAAAAGCATTGATAAGATTATTAAAATTCACTTTTTAAAGGAAAGAATCAGAAAATAAAATAAAATATGCCAAGGCATTCCAAACTAACCAGGTTACAAGGACATGCAAATTTTTGAGTTTAGCTGCATTAGAAAATACTTTTCCTGCATTCCAAAAATCATGTTTCAACTTCCCAAAAGAATTTGTGAGTTGGCTTCAATAAAACATTTTGCTGTGGAATGAAAAATTGACAAACATTGTCAAATGAGGTCTTCAATAGAATTAGTTTCACTCTTAATGGTTTTACAAAAATCATCTTAAAATATGTACATTTTAGCAGACTGACCTGATTTCTTTGAATGAAGAAGATGCACTGCATTTATTTCTTTTTATATTATGTTCATTAAAACCTGGGGTAGTGGAAATTGGGGCAATAAAGGATAAAAAATTATTCCACAAAAATATTTCCATCATGAAATAAAGGCAAAAATGGGCAAAATGCCCCCAAAGAAAACCTTCTCATGCTCAGAAAACCCCTCATTTGATGTCTTCCAATGCAAGGTTGTACAGTTTAATTCATATTTGGTAGTTTAAATTTCATTTTTGTCTGGCAAAAATATAAAATTAATGCAATAATTTTTTTAATGGATATATATTTTCAACTCTCTCATTTCTATCCTCATAAGTTCAAATAAGGAAAATAATGGCAAGTAGATGGCGCAATAAAATTCAAAACTAAATTGCCTCAAATTCGCCATTAAAATTCCATCAAGAGGAGTCCAACACAAAAAACAAAAAACACGAAAAGTTTTGAATGAACCCCTGCATAAAAGAAACGGCGGTGAAAAACTCTGCCCTTTTTTCCGCATGAAAGATCACAGAAGTGCCGAAAACTCAGGAGATGGAAAAGAGTGAGGAGGAAGAATACAAAGTGACTGACGGACAGACGAGGAGTGAAAAAAATAAGACAGGTCTACGTTTTGCGCAGTTTTTCCCTCACCCAACATTTTTATTTTTATAAAAAGTTATCATCAATAAAATATAAATATTTTTCATCTGAATATTTCCTTGGAATACGAATCACAATCCGGATTTTTTTCCCACAAAATAAATGTTACCCGGAGGCTCTGCATGAGGTTTAAACTGAGAATTTTAATGCCTGGGCCGCACTGACTCAAGATATGCGGCCTATATTCTATCTGAGATTTTTTTGACAGATGGAGCAGATAATCACTTCCTACAAGATGAATCTCACCCTGCTGGAGACTCTGGATGAGGTTTTACCTGAGGATTTAAATGCCTAGGCCGCACTGACTCAAGATATGCGGCCTACATGGTCTCCTTGAGATTCACTTGAAAGATGGAGCAGAGAATTGCGTCCTATAATAAACATTTTACCCTACAGGCACTGGATGATGTTAAACCTGAGGATTTAAATGCCTAGGCCGCATTGATTGAAGATATGTGGCCTATATTCTATCTGAGATTTTTTTGAAAGATGGAGCAGATAATCACTTCCTACAAGATAAATCTCACCCTGGGGACTCTGGATGAGGTTTAACCTGAGAATTTAAATGCCTAGGCCGCACTGACTCAAGATATGCGGCCTATATAGTATCTTTGAGATTTATTTGAAAGATTGAGCAGAGAATTATTACTTCAAAATTGTGAGAAGTTCTATTATTGGTTGAAAGTTCATGGAATGATCAGAATTTATATTTTGAAGTCTGGGCCGCATTTGTGCTCCAATGTGGCCTATTTTTCATATATTTCCTCTGAGATTTAAAAAAAAAGAATGGTGCAGAAAATTTCTTAAATATCATAATAAAGTCATATTGTTTATTGTAAATTCAAGGAATGATTATAATTTATATTTTTGAAGTCTAGGCCGCACTTTTGCTCCATTTCAATATGTTATTTTTCCCACGTATTGCCTCCGAATTTCATTTAAAATATTCAGAAAGCAATTTCAAAAAAAAATAAAATCATATTGGTAGTAATTTCATTGAATATATGCTTAGAATTTCTATTTTTATTTTACAAACTGTTTTTGCAGTTCTGCAAACTTGTAAATTACTTCAATCAATGGATTCTGCACCATTTTGAGTAAAGATTTTTCAATTATTTTCTGCTTCTATGCATGTTTTTTTACTTGTGTAACATCTAAAAACATTCCTTGTTTGTAAATTTGCAAAAAAATAATTCTCTTCAGGAAAAGAAGTTTTTTCATTCAATGCAAGACATTCAATTTTAAAAATTGAAATTATTAAATGCGGGAAATGACAAAAAACAAGGTAAAGAAAATGATGAAACCCCCTTAAATCAGTCTAAAATGTTTTATGATGTTGCATCTGCTGCTTTAGACCCACCCCATTTTTAAAAAGTAAACCCAGCAGAGAAAAGGATCCCAAGTTATACAGAAATATCCTTAATTTTTCGAAACACCTTTTTTCTGTTTAATTTTGCTACAAATGAGATCGCTGGTCGCCCGGGTTTAGGACTCCGGTTTTTGCAAATGAGGAGGGGCATGTGGCGGCGGTGGCGCCCACGAATTTGTCACGGCTCACGGCTTGGCGCCGTTTCGGCTTTTCTGTAACATTTTTCCCCCCTTTGAGGGAAAAAACAATACCTTTTCACAAAAGCAAACTCTGTGCATGTCATGGGACATTCAAGTTTTTCTAATGCATTTAAAAAAAAAAGTAAAAATATATCATTTTTAGGGAAAATTTAGGATTTTTAAATGAAATATATTGTATTTTAAAATTATAATGCAGTACTGTATAGTACACCTGCATTAAAAAACAATCTTTTAAATTATTTTTAGGAAAATACAATTTTTTTCATCAATTCATCATTGATTAAAGAATATTCAAGATTCAGAGAATTTTGTCAAATTTTTTCTTGAATTTTGCAGTTTCAATAAGCATGATTTCTTGAAACTTGATCATCAAGGATCTAGGGAATCACCAAGATTAATCACAACAAATTAAAGCATTTTGATGATCCCTCAATATAATATTAAAAACAAATTATAGTTTTGTTTCCCTTTTTATCCTGCAATTGAAAGGATATTTCTGAATTAACATTCACTTATCACATGATACTGTGAAAATGCTCATCAGCAGAAGACAAAATTACTTTAAAATCCCTAATTACTTTAATAATAACATTTATTTGGAATACTATATACATTTTGCAGTGGGGAAACTTTGCTGCTTTATTTTCATGCAATTCTTATTCATTATTCTGTTTGGAAAGTCTCTTGATTATTTTTTGGAAATATCTATAATTTTGTCAAAAGAGCAACTTGGAGAAGAAGACATTGTTTCTTAATATTCAGGAGAATTTCCAATTTTTGTTTGCTGGAGTCAATTTGTTCATTTGTTTCATAATCTTCTGATATGTGCAGAAAGCAAAGTCGAATTTTAAGAAATGTGAATTTGACACTGACAAAAAATATATGATTTTCAAAGATGGTTATATTGTTTTGATTATTACTTCTTCCTTTCAATATTAGAAATAATTGTTTGGGGTTCCTGGACCTTTTCTGTGACAAGATTTCACATGTTGCCTTAATGGTACACTGTTGAATCTGAAAAAGTGCTGTAATGTCCTAAAATGCCAACTATACCCTGAGGAATTTAAAAAATCAATTTCTCATATAGCAGGATTATTTCCATGTTTTGCTTTCTGGGATAAATCTTCTGATTTGTTTCATTATCTTTTGATGCATGCAGAAAACTTATAATATAGAGAAATATAAATTTGATACTATATATTAGAGGAAAATAAATGAATTCAAAGCATTTATAGATGGTACCATTGTTCTGATTATTACTTCTTTTTTTATAAAAAAATTTTTTTTTGAGATCCCTGGGCAAATGCTGGGACAAGATTTCACATGTTGTCTGAGTGGTGCTCTCAGTTAAATTTGAAAAAAAAGTGGCAATGTCCCAGAAATACCAACTATACCATGGAAAATTTTAAAAATCAATTTTCTCATCTAGCAGGATAATTTCCATTTTTTGTTGACTGGGAAAAATCTGCTGATTTTCTTCATTATTTTTTTATGCATGCAGAAAAATAATAATTTAGAGAAACATAAATTTGATGCTATATATTAGGGGAAAATAAAGGAATTCACAGCATTTATAGATGGTACCATTGTTCTGATTATTACTTCTTTTTTTATAAAAAAATTTTTTTTTGAGATCCCTGGGCAAATGCTGGGACAAGATTTCACATGTTGTCTCAATTGTGCTCAGTTAAATCTAAAAAAAGTTACAATGTCCCAGAAATACCAACTATACCCTAGGGAATTGAAAAATCTATTTCTCATGTACCAGGATAATTTCTATTTTTTGTTGACTGGGAAAAATCTGTTGACTTGTTTCATTATATTTTTATGCATGCAGAAAAAAAGTCCAATTTAGAGAAATATAAATTTGACACTAGAAGGGATAATAAATGAATTCAGAGTTTTCATAAGATACTGTACTTCCTTTTTTATTAAAAAAAATATTATTTGAGATCCCTGGGCAAATGCTGTGACAAGATATCACCTGTCGCCTCAATGATGCTCAGTTGAATCTTTAAAAAATAAAAATCACGTCCCAACGTCCCAGAAATACCAACTATACCCTTTAATTTCTTCCTCTCTGCCTGTGACACCGCCAAGGATCCATGGATCCGCATTCCGCACGCGATTCGTTCCAAAAACGCTCGATTTTTCCCACTCTTCATTCCTTTTTCTCAGCTTTCAATTTATCCCCAGGAAGAAAAATTCAACTCAAACAAAAGAAAAAACGAAACTAGTTTACTTTTTCTGCTTCCCCAAATTTATTTTCTGCCGCGGTTTTTCCGCCTGCTGACACGCATCCGAGCCATTCCTTCACGAGTCCCGTCACCCAAAACATCCCTGTGTAAAAAAAAAAAAAAAACAGATTGTCCCAGGTTTTTTTTTCCGAAGAATATTTTGTGCAGTAACATGTTTTCATCTACCACTGGAACCCTGTGCTTATTGTTGGTAACACTGATGCCGATTGTCGTCGAAAGAACACTAGCGCAACAGACTATGGTCTATAAAATCAACACTTGTAACGGTGAGCGACATCTAGGTATTGATTGCAAAAACGCTGCGCGGGGGTTGCGTCGATTGTGTGTAGATAACGGGGTAAACACTGGTGTTCTATAATTTCTTTGCTCATGTATATATCCATATACAGAACAGCCTCAGCAGGATTATCAAGTCCTGATGGACGTCTTTCCCATGCAATGTGCTGGGAGTCATAGTTGTCCCAATTACAGGAATGTCAAGGCCAATGGGTTGTCTTTACTGGGTCCTGCTGATGTTGTTTTAGGGAGACATTCTTCTGGAGGTAAGATGAGAATCTTTCCCCTTTTTTTGCAGTAATTTTTTATGTACTGTATATTGCGCCTGATTTTGAAAAATTAATATTGGACACATTTTTCAAATTCTTGTTTATCTCAAATTATTTGGTTTTGGGGCTTTCAGTTTATTATGGTACAGTAGTGCACTGTATATATGAGTTTTCATTTTGGTAGAATTATTGCACATTAATTCTTAGAAATGTCCTTTGTTGGACATTTAATTTTAATGACATGCAAAAAATTTTTGCATTTGATTTTTCATTCAGAGATTCAGGAATACTTATCAATTTGATTTTTTATTTTCTTATTTTGTAGCCAATTTTGAAAATTTATAAACTGAAATAGGAGTCTAACATACTGTAGATGATTGCTTAAATAGGTGTCTATTTCAACAATCCTTGAACTCCTTTGTCTGTAGAACAAATTTTCTCCATCTCAATCAGCAACTGAATTTGAAAATCTCAGTTTTTTTAAACATACTGAAAAGGTTGGTCTGAATGAGACACTGTTCAAAACTTGGTACGTATATCAGCAGTTTGAAAAGTTCAGAAGCTGTGATTAGAATCTCAATCTTCATCATATGGATCCAATCTTCAAAATAAATATTTTTGACAAATCAATCACCCTTGAACATATATATGACATCATTGTGCCAATGGTAAGAACTTTAGAATAATGGAGCTGGGGGTGTATATCTCTTATATAGGTGTGATGCTTGGAGATGTGTCCAATGCCATCCCTCTGACAGCCAATGAGGCCAGGTTGGTCAGGCCAGCAGATGTGGTCCTCATGACTGGCACAGATGGGGACCACTTGTTCCAGATCACTGGCATCAAGGTGGTGGAGAACCAGAAACAAGTGGAACCCACCAGAACCCTCCTGCAATCCAGTCCCCATCAAGCAGGAGTCCAAGTGGCCATGAACAAAGACTTTGAGGAGTGCTTGAGACAGTTGAAGGTCTCCACCAGTACTGTGGCTCCCACTTCAAGTACCATCCCAGTTCCTGAAAGAAGATTTCTTGAGGACATGGGTGCTCCTAAACCTGTGGTAAAGTCATTTTGTGTAAGCCCTCTTTCCATTGAGGGGTATATAGATGAGAGCAACTGATCTTTGGCTGGTGTGACATTTGTGCAGGCCAAGTTTGCTTGCCAGGCACAAATTGTGTGGCCATCAGCAAGTGATGTAGAGCACCACCAGGAAGACTTTTTGGGCACACTACCAAAAATGGACTCCAAAACAGAAACCATGCATGCACCAGAGGCTCCATTTCAGAATACCCAACTTCAGAGGTCCCTGGGTCCACCAACAGGACAGGATTACCTGTGGCAGATCCTGCAATTGCCAGCTGCCAACAGGTCTGTGATACTTGAGGCCTTGAGCAGAAGTCTCACCACCACCACCACCACTACTACCACCACCACCACAAGTACAACCCCTGTGGCCCCACCATTGGACATGCTTACCAGGTACCACAGACTACCTGTGCAATATGGCACCATGCTTGGAAGAGTCCAGCCAATGGCTCCTCCAAGTCTAGGACCTTCCTTGGGCCAAGAAGGTGCTGTTTTGACATTGCCAAAGTTTGTACTGTACTGTACTTCATTATTTTTTTTTTTGGTGGTGTATAGGAAGAGACTATGAGTCATTCCAAGGGCAGATCAAGTCATCCATCCTAGGTGACACTGAGGAGGAGAAGGCCCTGAGGAATTTCAGGGCTGGTCTGGTGGCCATGACCAACCCCACACCTGCACCAAGGCCCATGGACAATGTGTTCTACTTGCAACAGTTGTTGCAAAGGTCCAAGTCCATGATGGCCAATGCAGACTCAGGCAGCAAGAGGGTCCAACTTCACCCATCCAACAGGTCCACTTGTAAAGACTCATTTTAAAGAGTCACCATCATGGCCCAAATGGGGTGGTGTCAAGTGTAAATTGCTGTGATCATTTGTCTGGGATTTTGTTCAGAGAACAATACAAAACTGTGTCATGTTGTAAAAAAGAACCACACCACACTATTTACCAAGTTGTAAATAGATGGCAGTACATTACAAGATTGCCCTGATGTGTCTCTAGATCTTCTCTTCTTGCATGCAAATGCACTCCATGTGTAGAATATGCAATATATGGACAATATTCAAGAGCAGAAAACCATTCCAACACTTGACTGTTCCTTAAAAGTAACTACATCACATACAACACTATGTAAAGTCATGTAAAGAGACTTTTTTTCAAAATGAAAATTGAAAAAGAGTATAAAACAATACAATATTGGTACAGCTCATGAATAGAAATCAAGAGCACCATCCTATTTTATATGAATGCAACACATTATAAGATGTTCAGTATGTGCACATTTTCTCCTCAAAACATGCTTCATCACTGTTGTAAATGCAATATGCAAGGAAAATTCTGAAAGTTTGCATGAGTATGGAACATTGCAACATATCAATGGAATGTCACAAAAGGAACCCCAATACTGTACTAAATATGAAAGTGTGTATTGTCATGACTTTGACTATATGTCATGTTATAAAAAAAGATACTGCAGAAAATTATGAGATGGTTCTGTGTCTCCAAATTCTCTCTTAATGCCTCCAATTGAGAATACTGTAAACAGTAAAATCTTGTTACAACAAACTCTTGGGGACTGCAGAAAAAGTTTGTTATAACAGATAATTTGTTATAACAAGATTTTCAAAAAAATGACAGGAACAATTTTTTTCAGCTCAGATCTGCATATATTCTGAATCAGGCTTGTCTTTCAGTTTAAGAACTCAAATTATTGTTTGAAAACATCACATCACAGAATTCCCAAGTTTGTTATAACAAGATTTTTTTAACATGTAGTCTATAGGCTTTCTGCCGGGACTTGAAAAAAAGTTTGCTGTATTGAAAAATTTGTTGTAACGGTATTTGTTGTAACAAGATTTTACTGTGTATACAGTGAGGCAAATTAATCTGTGCAAGACTATAAGAACCAAATGCACAAAATGCAAGTGCCAAATTGTCCTCTGAAATGCAAAATAAAAAATAATTGATAAATAACATGATGCTGGAACATAGTCTGCAAGAAAGTTTGTTTCTTTCCCTTTCTTTGTTTTCTTTCTTCTTCTTCTTAACATGCACAGGTGTCCCATCCACATCATCACACACCACTCACACACATATAGAATACCAAAGTCTCCCAGAGGGCACTGGGCAAGAGAAACCCGCGCAAAGATGTCCAACCAAACTGACCCAATGCCCTGGAGACTAGATGGCCAAGGTTCAAAAAAAAGGGCAAAAAGGAAAAAATAATAAAGGTGTCTGACCCCCCTGGACCTCAGAGCCAGGGGACTATACTGTCAAAAAGGGGGGATCCAACACATGGTATTCACTTCAGTCCTTCTTCTTCTGTGCCTCTGACTTGGAGGCCTCTGAGGCTGAAGAGTTGCCAGTGTCAGTCTTGGGTGAGCCAGTGCCTGACATGGCCTTCTGCATGGCATCCCAGATGCCTCCCAGGAACAGCATGGAGAAGATGTTCTCAAAGGGGATGAAGGGGTCATGGATGCCCAGCAGCACAGAGGACAACTTTATTTACAAAAAAGACAGACAAACAAGTGTATGTCAGAGGGAGATCAAGTCTTCATTCTAATTGTCCTTTCAAGCATCTCACCTTGAAGTATACAAAGAAGATGACAATCCCAAAGTACACAAGGGAATGAGGGGCAGAGATCAGCTCTGTTTTCTTATCCACCAGGAAGATGATTGATGCAATGAAGCAAGCCTTGGTTGGGCTGAAATAAATCCACAAATGTTATTACTTACAATCTTGTGTAACTCTTCAAGAAATAGAGAAACACACACATTTTACAAAAGTAATCTTATATTTGAACATCCCCTGACCATTTTCCCATTTATTTAGGTCCCCAGTTTTTAATAAATACAAGATACAATCACTGTTCTTTCAAATTTACTCAATCAATTTTCCTCAATCAGGAAATTTCTCTATACTAAGAACAAGTTTTATAGATTTTCAAGTGTAAGATGCATCAAATATTTCAAAAGTCTTCAATCCCTCCTCATTCAATAAACTCTTCAAGAAATAGAGAAACACAGACATTTTACAAAAGTAATCCTATATTTGAACATCCCCTGACCATTTTTCCTTTTATTTAGGTCCCCAGCAGTTTGTAATAAAAAAGATAGAATCACTGTTCTTTGCAATTTACTCAATCAATTTTCATCAACCAGGGCCAATCTCTATACTAAGAACAAGTTGTATAGATTTTCAAGTGTAAGATGCATCAAATATTTCATTTGATTGAATACCCCCTTGGTAGAAGGTGTACCAGACCATACAAGTGTCAATAAAAAAGTGCTGAGACCTTTGACAATTATTGTGTAAGAGATGTTAGCCCTTAAAATGGCAAGTGATGCACAAAAAGTAATTTCAGCAGTTGAACAAAAAATCTATTACTATAGTTACCCCACACTTGTTTGGAGGATCCTAACTCTGAGTACCTAATGGTACAGTATCCTATAAAAACACAATAAGGATGACTTACAAGGTTGGGTGAAGGATCTCCAAGGCAGTGGGTGTCCAAACACCTCTCAGCAACCTCTCCAAGATCTTGAGGAACCCAGCACCATTTCCTGCATGGAAAAATGTATGTGTGTGATGGTCACAAAGATGACCAGTCACAGTACTAAAAGAGAGAGAGAGACAGACCTTTCACAGTGCCAATGACAACCATGGCCACATAGCCATTGGGGTAAATCTTTGCAGCATGCACCACACCATCATGAACCTTCTTGCACCTGTACACTTCCTTCATGGCAGCCAGCAGCAACTTGATAGGCAGGAACTTGAGCACTTTGTATCCAATGTCAAATGGTGTATAGAAGACCACATACCTATATCCAGTAGTCAAAATGATCTTGCCACATACAAGAACACTCCAGGAGGGGTGGGGGGGATATTTCATGACAGTTCTCACCAGACTGCTGTGGCTATAAGGAGTTGGTCAGTGCTTTTGAACACCCCCAACAGGGGTTCACCCAGCAATACAGCTGCAAATATGCCCCCAGCAAAGATGGACAACATGCATGAGAGCCAACAGGCCAGTGGGTGTTTCCTGGAGAACTGGAGAGCTCCTTTTACACACACAAAAAAAGTAAGAGAATTGAAAAGCCAACACACACAAAAAAAAGAAACTATCACAATAATGGGGATTGTTGCAAACCTGCTCCAAGGTCTTCCCTGACATACAAGCAGCTGATGGCAGAATGAGCAATGTCAAAGTAGGGAAACATTTTGAGCTTGGTGGCCTGGTTGGCCAAATCCAGAAATGCCTCAGGATCCATCACTCACACACTCACTCTCACTGCCCCAGGAAAACAACAAAAACAACACACCACCCCTGCACTATATGGGCAACTGTGGTCTGGGATTGTCTGGTGAACAGCTTAGGACCCCCACACACACACAAAGGGGAGGGGGGGGGGAAGAAAGAGGAGCTGAGTGCCAACATTTTGGCACTCTTCCCAGGAAGCACTAAAAATATACCCTCATAAAAATCTGGGTCAAAAACTTCCATTCCCCTGGCTGACTAAGAAGATACATTCTCAATGTTACACTTGCTTCAACCAGGTGTCACCCCCTGGACTGCATTTCACAGACACAGCATAACACACACACACATGAAAATGTAAACCATCAGTTTTTCTTCAAGTAAAAGTAATCTTGAGCCACTCTGTCAACAAATTTGTACCCAAATGACTGCAAGTAAGATGTTGTGTCATTGTGTTTCTGGATCCTTTTATTCATGTCCACATGGTCATCCTCCAACACCAACAACTGTTGAACATACAGTAAATGAATGCTTCAGTATAACTTCATTTCAGTAAGATTTAGTTTCCACAAACTCATGAAGACTTGTTGAGGAAGCAAATGTTGAACAGTATTTAACTTTAGAAACCACACTCATATAAAGATAAAATTCTAAAAACTGAAAGAAGTGAAGCACATATTCACATACATATTGAATAAAGAAATTGTTTCAGTAAAATTGTTATTTGAATCTTTGACATAATAATCCTGCATCATGCAGGAGAGTAATTTCTTCCATTTCAAATCATAAAAATTCCTGATTAGTCATTTTTGCAGCCACAAATTGAAACAAACTTTTTCTCACTGTCAATCTCAAGTAGCATCAGCTCACTGGATTTTTAGTCCTAATACACTTGGCAAACTAAGAACATGATTTGTCAAATATCTTGGTGAAAATACAGCTGCCACACAATTTAATGAATGAATAAACTCCACTGAAATCTCAGAAGAAATTTCAGTTCACTTGAGTTTGAAGATGGATGAGGAATGAATATTTTTGACAATTACTTTCCAACATATAAGGTTAAACAAGTTATAGCATTAAATTTGGTTTGTTTGCCACTGTACACAATTTTAAAAATTAGTTTCAGAACAATATTTCACAGACCTTTTATGACAGTTTCGTGCTGGGAAATTTTTCATGAAGATATTAACTTTATTCATATTTTACTGCATACTGCATTGAATGAACTCTTTTAGAATCTGTCAAATTTCAGAAAGTCTTTGCTTGGTTCATATTAGCAAGCAAGGATAAACTGTGGAATCATGAATTTTGTTAATAACTTGAAATTACAGTAGTGTGTATGTCACAGACTAAAACAGGGCCACAGAATTTTAATTAATTGGAATGTGGTATCTGTAATTATTAAAAAAAAGCCAGCTTACTGTAATGTTCACTTGGTCCCAGGACAATGACTTCAATATATCAAGCTCAGCACCTTGGACATCCAAGCAGAGTACATCCAAGTTAGTCAGACCAGCTGCCCTGAGGATGCTCATGAGTGGGTAACATTGCACCTCAATGTAGGTCTGATTTTCCAAGGCCACAGTATGGTAGCCATCAATGGCACTACTCCCTTTCATCCAGTCCTCTTTCCCTCTGCTCACCAACATCCTGGCCTATGGATGAGATACCTTTTTTTTAAATGATGAACCAACCAGCAATGGATGGACTAACAATGGATGCACTTCTGCATATCCAAATAAAATGCCATGTCCAACACCAGTTGTTATTCTCAAGAATCAAGTATATATGCTCACTGTCATGGTGGTGTTGGAAGTACTTAGACAGCTGTTCAATGTGTTGGCTCTTCTGTTCTTGGTGAGTAGTTTCTTATACAGGTCTGGTTGGGGTTCTATCAGGACTCCAGTCCAACCATGGTCCACTTCCAGAAGGAGAGAGTTTGAGAGGAACTCACCATCATGTGCCCCTGCTTCTAAAAATGTCCCATTTTTCTGGGGGAGGAACCAACATGAAACAATGTTGGATCAGTTGTCCACTTTTGATAGTGACAAAAATAAAACTACCAATATTGTTGATATCACCTTTGATGATATGGTCAGAATTACTTTTCTCTATTACAATCTCAAATGAGTGGTGGCAAAAAATAAAACATGCCACAATTCACCATCACAACCTCAGGTAAGTTCCACAATTCTATTTGTTAAGAAAACAGGCTGGAAGTGAACCAATCTTTGTATGGTTTGTGTTATTATGGTCCACCTAATACAGCATCTTGAAGAAGGTTCTTTTGGTCAGAAGCATGACCTTTGAAATTGAGGATGTGCACTATATATACTTACTTTGCCACTGAGGTGTTTCAAGATGGCTGCAGACTGGCCCTCAGACCTGTCCTTGTTAACAGTGGTGAGCACCCTGGACCCAAAGTGTCCATCCCTGTTGTCCCTCATCTTCTCACACCTCAGCAACTCTGCCAGACCATCAACACTCTCCATGGTTGGCATGTAGACCCTTAAACTAGGGCCATTGACCAGTATGAACAAAAACAGACAAGTGGCCAAGAGACAGAATGTTGCAGAAAACCTCAGGTAACAGGAAAGCCTCATAATGCAAATCCCTCTTCTGAGGTGGGTCTCACCCTTGACTCAAAACCCAAGTTCAGGAAAATTTTCCTTTTTCTTCCCTTAGATTCCCTGGAACCATGGCAACTCCATTATAGGTGGAACATTGACCTAATGCAAACAGGAGAATATCACTCCATTCCTTTTTTTGGGATTCCCTTTGAAAACCATGACAACACATATTGAAATAGTGAGGGAATGGTACAAAATGAACAGCTTTTTTGAAGGGGAAATGAAACCTTTCCCTTGATGGATTGATCTGATTAGGAGTATTGATGAATTAGATAAAAAGGCATGATTACAGAAAAGCCATGAACTCATTTCTTTTCTGTTGACCTGCTTCTGATTCCATGAGGTGGTTTTGGAAGCCCAAATGTTCATTGTTGAAAATTGTAAAAAAAAAGTTTTCTGTGGAAACAAACTGGGTACTTGGATTTCCAAGAGTTGAATTTTAAAACTTTTTACATTTGTTAAAAACACTGATTGAAAAGCCATCTTTGCTTCATGCTCCCAAAACTTTCAGAAATACTGATGAAGTTCATCATAACTATAAAATCTAAAATAATATTCTCTTATTTCTGCTTTTCAACTTTAAAAAAAAGAGTTTGATGCAGGAGTGACACCTGGATATCTACACTGCAGTTGTTGAATCCATTCTTTGCAAGTAGATCAATACAATGCAGCATCAAACTGTAACTGTATTCTTTAGCCTGGGGGGATTGATGTACTGTGTATAAGTGCTATGAAAAAAAAAGATGGGGCCACACCTTTTGCACAGCACAAAGGGTGTGTGACACACACACAAAAAAAGAGGAAGTGGGAGAATCAGTTTCCTGTTTCCAGCAGTAGCATCAGGGGTGTGGCACAGGTGCACACATGCACCAGTCCCCAATTGTTGCTTCCTGGGACAGAAGTCCTCATCATTCTGTGTTGTGCTGGTGGAAAGATTTGTAAAAAAAAAAAAAAAGGTGTTCATCCTGGATGGCACAGTGGGAAAATAAGAGTGTGAATGTGTTTCTATGATCATCACAAGAAATAATCTGTGCTACAGGTCTGATACTATTTCACCAATAAATTCTCAATAAAAAATTCTCCCCTGCATATTGAAAAATTCCCCATCATTTGAGAAAGCCAATTCATACCCAAAAAATGCCCACATCAAATTTTCAAAGCATCCCAACTAAGAATACTTTATTCATCTTGATATACTGAAAAAAGGAAATGCTTTTGTAGGATGAATCATTCACTTCTAGGCAGCCTGTGGTGCCATCTATAGTGTGATGCTCTATTCAGAATAACAAAATCCACCCAAGAGGATTCATCTTTCATTTTATAATCTTGAATGAATGAATGAACAGAAAACTTTATTTGCCACTTTTCAGCGTTCACAAGGCATAATCTTAAACCAGATGGCCACAGGCACATCAATGATACCTTCACAGCAATCAATAAACCCAGCCCAAATGATCATGCAGGAAAACTAATAAGCAAGATAATTCCTGGGTGTCACCAAGTCATCATTGATCCAAATGAGTGAGGTCAATAATGTCATGGCACCTGCAAGTGTGCAAACAAATACAGCAATAATGGCATTCTGAAAAAAAAATCCATGAAATAAATAATGAAAAATATTGGAAATATCCCCTTTTTGTGTATAATGGCCTGACTGTAATGAGGCAATCACATTCCATTGACATTTTTGTGCAAGCCACCTGTGATACATCATGGCCTTTTTTCTGAGATATGAGATAAGAGAGCCCTGAATGAAATACACATCATCATGGGAAAATGCTTTGGGCTCCCATATGTCAAGGAGATAAATGCCCTGGGATGCTTGTCATATCATGCTGTGAGATAAGAGACATATACAAAGGGCCTGTAATCCTGGGATTGGGACACTTAAACCTGAGATTCATTTCCTCAGCAGACCAGGGTTGTATGTGTATGTGACATCATCATGCCTCCTGTGGACCCAGCTTTTGCTAGTGTGCCCAAGAACAAAGCCTTCTTTGCTGTCTGGAGGATTGAGGTACAGTACACACACACACACACAAACAATTCACCATCACCCATTCATCATTTTGATATTGTCATACACACATTTGGTGGTTTCCTCTCCTCAGCATTTGAAAGTGGTGCCAGTGCCAAGGGAACATTATGGAAGCTTCTTCACAGGAGACTCCTACATTGTGTACAGTGCAGGAAGTGGGACAGAGTTTGCCAACTCCAGGACCAGGGTGAGTGGTGGGCTATATACAGTGGCTCTTTAGTTTTTGTTGTTTATTATTATTATCATTATGTGGTCTTGGTGAAGGAACATGTGGCCAGGGGTCCCTTGGAGATGCACATCCACTTTTGGCTAGGGGCAGAGACATCTAGTGATGAGGCAGGAACTGCTGCATACAAGGCAGTGGAGTTGGATGACCACTTGGGTGGACTGCCAGTGCAGCACAGGGAAGTCCAAGGCTCAGAGTCCAAAAGATTTCTGGCCTACTTCAAGGATGGTCTCAGGTATGACTCATATTCCTGCATATTACAAGTGAATTTTGATGCATTTCACATATTATGCAAATACCCTTGAGAAAAACCTTTGTCCTGAACTCCTGATTAATTGGGGCTTTATACAAAAAAAGAGTGTCTGGGTTTCTTAAAAGGTTAAAATGTCCTTTGAAAGCACTTTTAAAAGGGATATTTTACAAGAAATTGACCAATGCTCCCATTTTTTACCCTTCACATCATGGAAATAGACAAAGAGGTATAAAAGGAAACAAATATGTATTAAGAATCCTTGCAATCATTGGGGATTTATGAAAACAATGATGCATACTACAAACCTTGAATAGTATCAGAAAACTTGCTTTGGAACAAATGAAATGAAAATGACTTTGAGGCATTATAGTGTACAAAGGGGTTGTGTCAATTTGTGCCAATTTGTTTTTGCCTTTCAATTTTCATGGGAATATTTTTTACAAAATCAAACTGTATCATGTACTTTTCCAGCTATATTATTCAGTGGAAAAAGGTGTTTAAATCTTCAAAAGATACTCATGCTACTAATAATTACACTTTTAGTGTTCCTGCTGCTAAATGTAGAGGTTACCTCAATAAAGAAGTCAGTTCATGAGCAAGAAGTTGCCCAGTAATCATGGCTAAAATTAAAGAACATCCCCTGAGAGAAGAACAGAGGCTTTGGGTACATGAAAAATAATACTTTATTTGAAAAAAATTATTGGCAAGCATTTTGAAACATGGTTTGTTTTTTAAATTCTATTTTTTCCAGACTGCTTTCAGGAGGTTGTGCCTCAGGGTTCTCACATGTGACCCCTGACCAGTCACCAAAGCTTTTCTGTGTGAAGGGCAAACGTTTGCCAATAGTCCAACAGATGTCCTCAGTGTCCTGGGAACACTTCAATGAGGGAGACTCTTATGTCCTGGACCTCCAAGACGCCATTTTTGTGTGGAATGGGCGCTCTGCAAACAAACATGAAAAGCTACAAGCTGCCAAAGTCTGCTAATCTTTACATCTTCTCTTATCTGGTTTCATATAAGTACAATAATCTCTTGTTTTTAACACGTTTTTATTAAACGTGGTTTTTTAGATTAATTTTTTAATCTACAAAAATTTTTTTTTGAATTCAGGTTGCTGCAAAGCTCAGGGCAGAGCATGGTGGCAGCCATGTTGTGTTCATTGAAGATGGCCAAGAGGTGGCACTGCCAGCCCAGGAGAGACAGTTGTTTGCCAGACACTTGCCACTCAAGGACAAGCATGTCATCAGGAGGGCTGACTCAGTGGACTCTGATGAAGCTGCTGAGCAGAGCCTTCATCAAGTCAAGCTCTTCCAATGCTCAGATGAAGGAGGCACTCTCAGGGTGTCTGAGGTGAAGACTGGACAGATGTTCCAGAAGGACCTCAAACATGAGGTGAGTTTTGGCATTATTAGACCATCCATATACACAGAAATTTGGACCCCAAAGTGGTCTACATCATGTTTTCTGTGTAGGACACATTCATCATAGACTGTGGACCAAAGGGTATCTGGGTGTGGATTGGCAAGCAGGCAAACAAGAAGGAGAGGGCAGAGGCCATGAGAAATGCCCAGGGGTTCATCAGGAAGAAGGGCTACCATGTGGCCACACCTGTCACCAGGGTCATTGATGGGGGAGAACCCCTGGAGTTCAAGGCTCTCTTTGCCACCTGGAGGGACAAGGATGAGACCAATGGTTTCACACCTCTCAAGCCAAGTATATAAGACCATCATAATCATTTCTCTTTAAAAAAAAATTCAATCATTTCTCTTTTAAAAACAAATTCAATCATTTCTCTTTTAAAAACAAATTCAATCATTTCTCTTTTAAAAACAAATTCAATAATTTCTCTTTTAAAAACAAATTCAATCATTTATCTTTTAAAAACAAATTCAATAATTTCTCTTTTAAAAACAAATTCAATCATTTATCTTTTAAAAACAAATTCAATCATTTTTCTTTTAAAAACAAATTCAATCATTTCTGTTTTAAAAACAAATGCAAAAGACCTTTTATGTTCTTTCCAACAGAAAGCAGAGTTGCCAAAACAGTGCAGACCAAGTTTGATGCTGGACTCCTGCATGAGAACCCAGTGTTGTCAGCAGAGACACAAATGGTGGATGATGGCACTGGGCAGAAGGAAGTGTGGAGGATAGAGAGGTTCAGCATGGTGTCAGTGGACCCTGAACACCAGGGTCTGTTCTACTCTGGGGACTGCTACATAGTCCTCTATGCCTACTCCACTGGTGCCACAGACCACTTCATCCTCTACTATTGGCTTGTGAGTCACCAAAACCTTTGGCCACTTGAAACAAACAGTAAGATCCACTCCCAAACATCCTTCAGGAGTCATTATGCACAACATACTCACTTTCAAACCACTTTTGGATGATTGCAAAAACCATTTACAGCAATATCAGGATAGAAAAAAAACATTTGAACTTGATTCTAACACTCTCTCAAATTGAATTGTGTTCCAAGGGAACTGAGGTATCTGTATTATTACATTGAGACTAGTTATGATACAGAACACCTCATTTTCAAGCCAATTTTGCATGATTGCAAAAACTATTTACAGCAATATCAGGATGAAAAAAAACAAACATTTGAACTTGATTTTAACACACTTTTAAAGCTGTTGAATTAAATTATGTGCCAAGGTAGTGAAGTCTCTGTAATTTCTACAGTGAGTAAAACCTTTGTCAAGACCATTTTTCAATGTTGATGATGTATGTACTCATTTTCAAACTTTCCATGTTCTACTTTAGGGGTCACATTCAAGCCAGGATGAGCAAGGAACAGCAGCTCTGAAGGCTGTAGAGTTGGATGACAAGCTGGGAGGCAAACCAGTGCAAGTGAGGGTTGTGCAGGGCAAAGAGCCTGCCCACTTCATGGCCATATTTGGTGGCAAGATGACCATCTTGTCTGGGGGCAAGGCCTCTTCTTTTGATGGCAAAAGAGGCAAGGACACCACTGGTCCCAAAGAAAGGCTCCTTCTTCAAGTCAGAGGCACTTCCAAACTCAACACCAAAGCCATGGAGGTGAGGTTTTCATGTATAATACTGTACATATAGATGTCACCTGCTGGCAAGTGCTGGAATGACTCTCCTACTCAATTCAAGTCAGAAGTGTTATCCAAAAACTATAATACCAAAGAGTGTGCTCAATGATGATCAGTCGTTGACAACTGCTTCTTATAATTTAAAGAATGGAATTGGAGATTTAAATTGTTTTCCGCAACTTTCAAAGGAAACACAAAAGTTACTCCGTGAGAGTATTTCAAGTAATGATTTTATTATCTCTTTACACACAGTCAAAACAATACAATGCTATGGAGCAAAGCGACGTCAATTTGGCGTTTGGACAGAGTCTGGTGCGGTAAACTCAACGCAACATAAAATGCACCTGTATATATAGCTTTGGCCAGCCAAGGTCGAAGAACTTGCATAGAAACCAATTTGGATCAGGGACATCACACTTTGTTTATTTAAAAGGAAAGAAGCATGAGTACAGTTGGGAAAGCATTCCGTCAACAACAGGATTGTGAAATATAATTGCTAGCGCACCAGGCACAGCCAAGCGTAGCAGAAATACATTAGCTTAAAATGGTTGTGCGGAAAGTGAGGGGTGTTGTGGTCCTTATTATGACTACTGAAGACAAATTCACAAACCCCACTTAAAAACACTCCAAACTTGAGTGGAACCAAATTGCAACAACCTCTTCCAATTTTATAATTCTTACATGTTGGAATAAGTGAAATAGCCATTTGATACACCCAAAAGAGCACATTTAAAAACTCAATCCACAAACATTTTTTTTATTAAAAACATTCCTCTAAATCAAAGTGGTACATCTTAATCTTGTTTTGATCTCATAAAACCATGAGTTGAAATCTGGCTCTTGCCATATTTGAAGGATTGTTGTTTTTTATTTCTTTCCAAATATGAAGTGACAAAGCTATAGTTTGCTTTTATTCATTGAAGGTGGAATGCAGAGCAGGTTCCTTGAACTCCAATGATGTGTTTGTACTGAGATCCAAACAGGCAACTTATGTTTGGGCAGGCAAAGGATCCACAGGGGATGAAAGGGAGATGGGCAAAGAGATTGCTGCAGGTGCTGGGGGCCCAGTGGACCCAGTTCTGGTGGTTGAAGGTGAGGAGTGCAATGCTCAAAAGGTTTATGCACACCCTGGGATTTAATCAGGACCTTTTTTTTTTAAATCTCTCAATTTGCACATGACAGGCCAGGAGAGACCAGAGTTTTGGGAGGCAAACTATAATACCAAAGAGTGTGCTCAATGATGATCAGTCGTTGACAACTGCTTCTTATAATTTAAAGAATGGAATTGGAGATTTAAATTGTTTTCCGCAACTTTCAAAGGAAACACAAAAGTTACTCCGTGAGAGTATTTCAAGTAATGATTTTATTATCTCTTTACACACAGTCAAAACAATACAATGCTATGGAGCAAAGCGACGTCAACTTGGCGTTTGGACAGAGTCTGGTGCGGTAAACTCAACGCAACATAAAATGCACCTGTATATATAGCTTTGGCCAGCCAAGGTTGAAGAACTTGCATAGAAACCAATTTGGATCAGGGACATCACACTTTGTTTATTTAAAAGGAAAGAAGCATGAGTGCAGTTGGGAAAGTATTCCGTCAACAACAGGATTGTGAAATATAATTGCTAGCGCACCAGGCACAGCCAAGCGTAGCAGAAATACATTAGCTTAAAAGGGTTGTGCGGAAAGTGAGGGGTGTTGTGGTCCTTATTATGACTACAGAAGACAAATTCACAAACCCCACTTAAAAACACTCCAAACTTGAGTGGAACCAAATTGCAACAACCTCTTCCAATTTTATAATTGTTACATGTTGGAATAAGTGGAATAGCCATTTGACGCACCCAAGAGAGCACATTTAAAAACTCAATCCACAAACATTTTTGTATTCAACACATAGCTCTAAATCAAAGTGGTACACCTCAAGCTTGTTTTGATCTCATAAAACCATGAGTTGAAATCTGGCTCTTGCCATATTTGAAGGATTGTTGTTTTTTCTTTCTTTCCAAATATGAAGTGACAAAGCTGTAATTTGCTTTTATTCATTGAAGGTGGAATGCAGAGCAGGTTCCTTGAACTCTAATGATGTGTTTGTACTGAGATCCAAACAGGCAACTTATGTTTGGGCAGGCAAAGGATCCACAGGGGATGAAAGGGAGATGGGCAAAGAGATTGCTGCAGGTGCTGGAGGCCCAGTAGACCCAGTTCTGGTGGTTGAAGGTGAGCAGTGCAATGCTCAAAAGGTTTATGCACACCCTGGGATTTAATCAGGACCTTTTTTTTTTAATCTCTCAATTTGCACATGACAGGCCAGGAGAGACCAGAGTTTTGGGAGGCCATTGGGGGCAAGGAGCCTTATGCCAATGCCAGGAGACTTGGGGAGGACCATGTTCAACAGCCAGCCAGACTTTTCCAGTGTTCCAATGCTTCTGGCAGGTTGACTGGTGAGTTTGTCTCAATTTTCCCCAAACTACATACATTTCCAAACAAACAAAAAGTCCTTTTTTGTTTCTGAAATAGGAATTCAAAATTGTACATCATTCCATCAACAGGAAAAAACACTGGGGGCATGGGTGCATGAAAGTTTTCCATATGCTGTAAAAGAGAGTTTCAAATTTAATTTTGCTGAATACAAAATTGCAACTGCATCCTGGAGGAATTCAAACATGTGTCAATATGATGTATTAAACTTAATTGGACAAAGATTTATTCAAATGACAAATAGCATTCCAACTTGGTCCTGAAAATAGTTGTGATTTTATGGAAAAACAAAGATGGCTGAAAAAAACACACAAGTTATCTGTTGTCCATTAAATAAAACAAACTTCAAGTATATAAAAATATTTTATTCACAACAAACAAGGTTTGAACAATCTTCAACAAAAATAAAACAGACAGGTATTTAAGAGAATCTTCTTAAACGTACACAAGGTTCTCTGAGATGTATACACGGTCGACACTGGATTAAATCTGAGGAATATAAGGTTCCTGAGTAATACATATACCTTCTCAGGTATATAGGTTGCAACAGCATTTCACATTTTTATTCATGAGTGCACAGACCTCATGAAGCAAATATCAAATATTCCACACACAATAAAAATATGCATAAATATGTGCAAAACAGTCTAGTAGGCTATTTACCTCTGAAATCCGTATTTCAGAGGTGCAGGTGTGCGAGGGGCATTTGTCACTGTCAGCAGTGAGGGGGAGTTTTACATTCCTTTAAACAGAACAAAAGCGCATCACGCTGTTAAAGTGGGGTGACGTGAGAAGAGAAAATTCAAGACAAGGAAACAGCTGCAGGGAGAAAACCTTGTGCGCTTCCTTGAAGCAAGTGCAAATTAAAAAGGAGATCCTTGAAACATATCCAAGCGTTTCCTGGATAACATATCCATAATACACATTCATACACTCATGCATATGATTCTTGGATTGTATGATGAACTTCCTGCAATTTGACCTCTATACATTACAAATTCCAGCTGAAGAGGTGGTGAACTTTGCTCAGGCAGACCTTGTGCCAGATGATGTCATGATGCTGGATGCCTGGGATGCACTGTTTCTGTGGATAGGCCAGGAGTCCAATGCTGTGGAGAGGAAAGGTGCTGAGCAAATGGCCCTGGAGTACCTGACAGCAGACCCTGCAGGCAGGGACAACATCCCTGTGTTCAGGATCAAACAGGGATGTGAACCACCCAACTTCACTGGCTTCTTTGGGGCTTGGGACCTGGCACTATGGAATGTAAATGCCTCAAACTGTATACAGTGTGCTGTAAAAGAAACCATAGCACATGTATTTCAATTTTACACAGGATGCTAAATACCACTAACATGCATTTATATGATTTTGAATTACTTTAAATGAAGATTCACTGTACTTAACTTCAAAAGCATATTTTCTGAAGATTTTTTTTGTGTATAGTGAAGTGAAATGGAAATGCTGTACTATTATTATAAACCTTAGTTTCTAATAGGGTTGGAATGGTTGAAGTCTCTATAAACAGGACATGAAGCAAGCATTTATTTAATTACAATTCCTCTCTCTTTGAATAAACACTGGCCATTTTACTTATGGTTGTGAGGTACACAAGTAAAACATGGTAGTTATATATTTTTTAGAACTGCAAGACATATGATGACTTGAGAAAAGAGCTGATGATGTCCAATCCTGGGATAGAGCAAGTGACTCACAAGATTGAGTCTGACTTCTCAGCCAGTCTACCAACATACCCTCTGGAAAAACTGCAACACAAGGTCCCAGAAGATTTGCCAGGAGATGTGGACCCAGCCATCAAAGAAGTCAGTCCATTTCTTTTTCAAAGTTGTGCCCTCTATCACATGCTTATGGTTTTGTGTGTGTCCTGCAGGCATATTTAAGCAAAGAAGACTTCCAGAAAGTTTTCAAAATGTCTGAGGACTCCTTTGCAGCCTTGCCAGAGTGGAAAAAGCAGCACCTCAAAAAGTCCCTTGGGCTCTTTTGAACTAGTCTTGCCATGAGTTGATTGCCAAAATGAGCTTTCTAGGCTGGCTATTGAAGTAATCATCTGTCTTTCTGTATGTCACTTTTTTTTCTGTGTGGAGTTCCAGCAGATATAGGAAAGGAGTATTTTTGTTGCTTTGGAAATGTTTGTGGGGAGGGGGAAAAAGGACTCCATGAATAAACCTTGGTTGAAGAAGCATCTACTCATTTCCATGCCATGGTGGGGGGAGAAGAGATCCCTCTGCAGAAGGGATCAAGGGCTCATCTGCCAACAGGGGATCCTCCCCTCCAAACTCTCTTGATCCCCTTTTGCATTGATTCCCAATGCCTGTGTTTTCATCTCATCCCCACCAGCTACAAATTGCTCCAGCATTTGCATTCAGGGATCAAGCATTCCAAAAACATGATTGCACCCATACAAATCATGTACAGGGAGGTTCTGGAAAACCTTTTGACAATAAATTGCAACAACCAGAAGCATTCTGTGAAATTTGAAGTTTAGCCTCAAATTGGAGTGCAATCCAAATGCTTTCATGGCATTTTCATTTGTTCAAAAGCCAGAAAAAAGTTAAAAATAAATTCATTATGGTATGATAAGTGCTTCCTCAGATAAAAATTTTTGAAAGGTCCCAGCACAATATTATCACTGTATTTTGGCCCTGAAAATCAGCCAAGAAGATGTTGGGCATAAAGATTTGTGTCAAAGCAAGTCAAGTAGATAATTATTTAAGAACTGTACATGCATCTTATCACCAAAACATGAATTGGTTCATGAAAAAATTAGTTTTAATGTAAATTTTGATACAGCAAGACCCAAATGACATCACCATAATACTTCAGGTACTGTAAAAAATAAAATTGAGTGTAATAATATTCTGCCTGTAACACATTGTTGGATCTAGGACAAACCAAGACAGGCAATTTGAGACAGGGCCAATTCAAGACAAGCACTCTTTCAGAAGCAAAAATTTTGCAACAAAGATAATTTGAGACAGACACTTTTCAGACAGAAGCATCTTCGATATGATTTTCCTGTGTTTACGCTTAATATCTGATATTGAAGACTTGAAAAGGAAAACAAATCCCCCTGCTTTGCCAAAAGTTATGCTGATTTTATTTCCCATAAGACAAATAATTAAAGAGAAAAAATGAACAAAGAATTGTAGCAGCACAGCAACTACAAACTTTCTTTGCAATAGAATGTTCCCTAAGAATCTCAAGAAAACCAAAAATGTTAGTGCAATAAAAAATTCCCCAAGTTTCACCAAGAATCTTGGGAAGCAAAAAAATTGTGTGTGCATCAGCAGAGTTGATTTGGGAATGTCTCCAATTGTCCTGTCTTTGATTGGTCACGTGGTCTGATGTCAAGCCATGTTCATGGAACACCCTACACACACTGGCAAGGGATCAGGGGATCCTCTTCATTGATCTCCTGAGGTGCTGAAAGGGATTATTCATCCTATGCTTCCATGGCCCACTTTTGAGGGTGGGAGAGATGGACAACCACCCAAAAGCAAAAAAACAAAAAAGAGCATCTCCAAAAAGCTGGTTTGGTTTTGTTTTATTACCCCCCACACTTGACACAGGGTGAGGCAAAAACATGACTCAAAAGACAAAGAACCACAACTTGACATTTCTCATTCTCGCTCAATTTTTTTTGCAAAAAAAACCCAAAAAATGCACCATACTTGTTTTTGACTTTGCTGAATTCATCCACCACACACCCAAAAAAAGAAACAAACACAGGGTGTATCAAAATTTTATTCTAAAGGCTGGTTTTGTCTTTCCTTCTACGCCTGTCCTCATCCCTAGCTTCCCTAATTTTGGCCTCCAACAACATTCTTTCTTGTCTCAGCTTCTTGAGTTTTTCCTCAAGGCTGTTGACACTTCTCCTGTCCCCAGGTAACAACAACCCAGAGCCAGATGTCATCACTGGCGCCATCTGGGTGATGCTGTCTTGAAGCAACTCCATGGCACCTCTGTTATTGCTGCTGCTGCTGCTGGTGGTGATGTCTTCATCCACTCTACACTTGACCAAGGGTTCTTCAGTGTATCTGCTCCTGAAACTTGTCAGTCTGGAAGGTGCAGTGGAACCAGGAGTGGTTGCTGCTGTCTCTGGGTTGCTGGTACCACCACCACCACCAGATGGTGTCTTGAGTGGGAAGAAAGAGGTTGTGGTTGTTGTTGTTGGGTTTCTGAGGAAGTTGCCATTGGACCTGTCTTGTTCTTCTGCCTCTTCCTGCTCTTCTTCTTCTGCAAACTTGGCCATGAGTGCTTCCATGGATGTCAGCAGTGTTTTGTAGCCCAAGGAGTCATCATTTTTGGCATCCCCTATAGTTTTTGTTGTTGTTGAAGCTGTGGTGTGAAGAGTGTTGCCATTCCCACTGCCCACATCATCATCACTGCTGGTGTTGTTATTTTTCTCAGCAGACACTAAAACAAGATCAGGCTCAAATTGGAAACTGGAGCAGGATGTGGAGAGTTCCCTGGAAATGGTGGAGTGGTGGTTCCGCAGGTGGTGGCGACGCGGTGGCACCGTGGGTGGCGCCTGTTGCTGCTGGAGCGCCCTTTTCCTCCACTGGCGCCTGCGTCGCTGGCGTTGTTGCTGCTGGTGTTGTTGGGCTGTTGGATCCAGTTTGCGTCTGGTGCTCCTGGAATGTGTGGCAGAGGAACAGGAACTGCCACTGCTGGACTCTGATTCATCATTGAAGTCTGAGTCTGTGTCCACATCTGTGGAGGAGTCTTCTTCTTCATCCAAGATCCAGGACCTACACTCAGGCACAAAAATAAAAGGGCTGTTGATGAATATTTTTCACACATATTTAGAAGAGAAAATCACTGAAATAACCCAATTTACTTAAATTTTTAACATGATGCAGGGGTATGAAGAAATGTATAAAACAATTGAACAATTGGAATTGGGTTGAATTCCAGGCAAAATATAAATTTCATACAAATATCATAAGTAGAGTTGGAAAAGAATAAATTGAAATCCTTTCATTCAATAAACATTAAATAAAATTGGGAAAATCAGAAGTGGGAAAAATGCACTAAATTTTTTAAAATATGTAATTGTCACATTTGCAAATTTTTTCATAGACAAAAAAACCTGTTACATTTGCACATTCAATGAATTTGTTCCATTTGCACATTCAATGAATTTGTTCCATTTGCACATTAAAGGAATTTGTAACATTTTCAAGTTTGACAATTGGGAGAAAATAACCTGTAAAATTTGCACATTCAATGAATTTGCAGCAGTGCCCAGCAAATAATTGGACATAATGTTATACAGTATATAATAATTAGCACATTTTCCACTGGTATGCATAATCTGTTACACCCTCACAGGACATTTGCAATGCATAGTAGGCCCTGCAACACCCATAAATTTAATTTTAAAAAATGATTTAATTTATCAAAGGTTTTACAGCAGCTTTCTTCAAAATGAAATCCTTGCATTTGTGAATGAATGAATGAATAAACAGAAAACTTTATTTGCCGCTTTTCAGCGTTCACAAGGCACAACCAAGACTCCCACATTTGTGATGCTGATTGTCAAGGCAAGCCATGAATGGCCAAATAAAATGGCTGCTATTCTCAGTAAAAAAAAAAAAAAAAACAATATTGATCCCAGAGTACAGTAAAGTATTAAGCATGACTTGGCCAACCAAAATATCTTCATTTTGAAAAGCTTGTGACAAAACAGTGATGCCAACTGTGCTCCTCACCTGCAGTAAGCACACAATGGACTATCCAGAGCAGGCTTGACCATTGTCCTACTGGACCTCTTGTCACACTCCTGCTGATGATGGTTGTGCTGGTGGTGAGCCAAGAGGAAGCATTGAGGGCAATGCACTTTCTTGGCAACCCTGGCAGCAAAGCCCACATCCCCAGCAAATGTCATGGACTTCATTGGAGAGCTCAGAGTCTGGTTCAGTTTGGATGACCCACACACTGCACCAATAGAAGATGTTGGCTGGTCCTTCTCATCCCAGTCAGACTCTGACTCACTGGAAATCCTGTTGAGCACTGACTGCTGAAAATGTGCACAACCATACCATGTTTGCAAGAGACACACACACAAACACACACAGTATCTTCAGACTCACAGGGAACACTTGGACACCACTCCTGAAACTCTGGCACCTCTTGGTAGAGGCCAATGGCTTGTCCCTGAGCAACAAGGACTGTGTCCTGGCCACAGTCTGCTTCTGGCTCTGCTGGTCCTCTTGGGGTACTTGGAAGGAGACCCAGGGATTGGTCTTTATCTTGGGCCTGTCCACAGGGTTGGGTACTCTCAGGGATGAGTAAGAGTGTGGTTGGCGCTGCAGAGGGTAATACTGTCTGGCTGGGAACTGGTGCAGCATGTCTGGATGGGATGCTGGGGTCAGACTGTCTTCTGAGTTCCCACTTCCATAAGCACTCTCTGGTGAACTCAAACTGACAGACCTGTGAAACCAAAAAAAAAGGAGTGGAAGGAATGCATTTATTCTCTGAGATTTATACATGGCACTGTTGGTCAAGTGTATGCATGCACAAAATGGCAGGAAACCATCTACAGTGCAAAGAAACCTATTGCCAATGTGAGACCTTGTACCAATAAGACACTACCAATCCTTCCTTGTTGAATATCACAGTACAGTATTTATGAATTGTAATAGCTTGACAATGTCCTGCACCAGCCTAGTAATTCTTCATATATTTTAAGGGATGTTACTAGTGAACTAATTCCCCTGACTTTATGACTTTACATCTGATGTTTTGCCTCTATTTTTTTATATAAAACTGAGATGAATCCATCATTCCATCCCAATGGGCAAGGTTCTTTGCCATCAAATATATTGTTAATGCGTTCTGTACACCATTTTAATCTTGATGGTCATTGTATGAAGTCCTTCCAATGTTCATAAGGGACACCACTAGGCCCTGGTGTCTTTTTTTTTTTGCCTTTAATGACTGTTCCTATTTCTTCCTCTTGAAATGGCGCATCCAAAAAGTGATCAATTCTTCCTGCTGCTGTAAAGTAGTCAAGTGGTGAAAGACCTCTGTTTTCCTTATACAGTAGATGACTTTGGAAAAATGTCTTGACAGAGATAGAAGGGTCAAGTAAATTCACCATTTTCTTTTTAAACATTTTCCAAATCTTTGATGATTGTTTTTTTTGTGGAAATGATGAAATCTGCATTTATTTTTCTCTGTACTCAGTTTCAAATGCTCTTGTAGTAAATCTGTACCATTCTTTTCTCAGGAGCTGGTATAGAACTTGATCACATACATCACCACCTCTTCAAAAACATGGGAAGCTATGCCTCATTCTTGCCCTCACTAATTTAATTTTCTCTTCAAGGTCATGAGCTTTTCATTTCAATACTCTATGCATCAATGTTTCTTTCCACAGGCTCTTATTTTGGACATATACTATCCAAGTGTTTAGAGATTGGTTGGCACTCTCATTTACAAATTCTTTCCATAGATCTATAATTTTGGGAATACTTAATACCTATTTCTAGAGTTGCAAATTGATATCTTGTCATTTTAAGGTACTTGCAGAATTAATTCACAAGTGATATTGAAGTGGCCTGAACAAGTTGATGGAAGAATGTTAAAATATAGGATCTTTGTTAGAAAGACCGGTGAGACAAAGAAGAAATCTATTGCTGACCAGTTTTCATTCCTGAAAAAAGTAAAGGGTGCTGGATGAATATTTCCATTTGAAACTGGGAAGTTTCTATTTATAATCAACAGGTGAAGGTCTTGGAGTGCTAATATCAACTCCTTTCTGATGGACTTAAATATGAACAGAAACTAGATTTATAGAAATTATATATATATGGCACCAGTGAAAAGCCCTCTTATAGCATCTCTTATACCCTAAGAAAAGAACAAGGTCAGACCCTTGCACCAATAGGACACCCAAAGAGTGAGACAGTAAAATAACTTATCAGATAACTTGGGGCCACTTGAAAAATTATATATTTTTTTAAAATACACTTGATGAATTTTGCTTTAGAAGTTAAAAAAAAACAATCACATTCAATTGGTGCTGGAATAGTTTATCCATTTTTCTGAAATGGCCATTATTCTCAAAAGGAGGGTAGTCAAGGACAAGACTTCTAGAAGCTATAGAGGGCGCTGGTGGAGTGAATAATTTAAAGAAGTGAGAACAATTTAAAGAATAATTTAAAGTGAGGCAGAGAACAATTTAAAAAAGTCAACCACAATGGTGAGATCCTACCTAAAAAAACATGAAATAGTGCATCCAAAGAGTACATCAGAGTTTTGTGACACTGGCAATACTGTACTGTAGTTTGGCAATAAACTATACCCTGTCTTATCTGTGTAATAAAAGTGTAATAATGAAAGCCAGAAAGATCACCTTGGAGCCTGGAAAAGTCTCCTGGCCACCTCAGGCCTGACAGCAGGGTGGAACCCAGAGGGATCCCAAGGGTGGTGGTGGTGGTGGATGTTGTGTTGGTGGTGAAGGTGCTCAGGGCCCCTCATCTCCTCATCACACAACTGGTGTCTTATCCTGTCAAAACTCTGGCTGCTGGACACTGTCATGCAGTTGAGTTTCCTCTTCTTCCTGGACACTGGCTTGGGCACCTTGTCCAGCCCATCTGACTTTGATGGACTTGAGTCCTTGGAGTTGCTGCCTGTGTTGCTGCCACTGCTGCTGCTTTGTCCCCCCCTCATCCTGGACATCCAAGTCCTCAGCTTGGCTCCAAAGACTGTTGCAGAAGCCATTTTGTGTGTGTGTGTCTTATCTGCAAAAGCACAAGGGCATCATCACAATGCAATCTCTATGCAATGACAACAATGAGGGTCCCTGTCATGCAGGATGACAAGTAGTCTTTCCAGAGGCCAAGAAAGGATGACATTAGCACATGAAAAAAAAAATATACCCTCATGCATCCCCATCATTTCTCCCCCTGGGTATTTTGGACACACAAGGAGATGAGACTGAGTTTCTGACAAGTGCTTCAGAGGGGAAATGGTTGATGGTCTGGAAAGGCAGATTGTTCCAGGACAATTAAGCACATTCAGGCTCTTCTTGCTTTCCCCCCCCCTCCTCCAAGATGAAGTGATCTGAATGTGACCCCAGTGGATGGGAGAGCAGATTATCTGGAAAGTCATTTGCCCTGCAACGCACGCTTATCTGGAAAGTGGTGTAGCCCCTCCCTGGAAAGACTGACAAGGCCTGTAACAAGCCCAGACACATTCCCTCTTGTTTCACCACAAGGAAACTACATCTTGGGTCAGCAATTTTCTGCAGCTCTGGACACTGTCAGATCCTGTTTCCTTTTTCTCTTCCCCTGGAAAGCAGGCTACACTTGTCTAGAAAGCCAATGATTGATGCGTTTCCTGTCAGTCTTTTGCATATTTTTGTATGCAGCAGGCCTTTCTAGATTGTGTTGCTATGATGGAGAACTTGCCGCCAGGGCTGGACATGAAAGGAGGCAGGCAAAATCGATTTGCCAGGCATTTCCAGAGAGGGGAGAGGAGGAAGAAAATTCCTTTTCCAGCCTCCAGCAGTTTTCCTTTCCCCTCCCCCTTTCCAAACAAGTTTGCTTTTCTTCAATTTCCATATTTGCTTCTGAAAAGCCAACAAAAGCTGACCTTGGGGCAATGGGCCTGTCATCTGGAAAGTCCAAAGAACCTTTCTCTAGAACCGTGAAAAATTGCCTGTCAGGGAGGCTGAAAGAGAGAATGATGCTCTGTTCACATTTCTGGAAAGATGAATTGCATTCCAAGCCCCCTTTCCAGGGCTTTCCAGATACTATTGATGAAAAAACAGACTGGCAGTAGTTGTCCAGAAAGGTTCTGCCTCTTTTAGATTTTTCTTTCAGCTGGGAAAACTTGCTTAGGGCCACTTTTCAAGTCCCTGACAAGGTCTAAGAAGATTGATGTTAACTCAGAGATGAGTTTCCAGAAAAGCATCCTTGAGGAAATTAGCTAATGGCTCCTGCCATGACCCCCAGGGGGGGAACATGTAGGGGGGAAAAGCAATTAGCAGAAAGGTGCAAGGTGTGGGTGGGGTTGGTGAGCCAGCCATAAATTCCTCACCTCTCTAGAAAGTCTGCTGGAAAATACCTTCCCAGGGTTTCCTATAAAGGTTCCATTTGCCCCTCCACATAGGAAAAAAAAAACAGGCTGGTTGGCTGGCTGGCAATATCTAGAGGCAAAACCAGAGGGGGCATAAATCAGCATTCCTCTGGCAACCCACCAGTTCCCAGTGAAATAAACAACCCCAGAATTTTTTTTTTCTACTTCCATGGAGGGAAACATGAATTATGCCAGCATCCCCATTTCCATCTTTTGCTCCAGACAGCTTTCTAGATAAATGTTCCCCCTCTCTCTCTCTCACAGTACTGCATAGCTCTGCATTAATGACAGTTCCCAGGAAAAAAGTATACCCACAGAAAATAAGCTCAATTTCCTCTGGAAAGTCCCCCCCCCCCAATAAAAAAGGCAATGATGTCTCACATTTGTCAGGAGCAAAGCAGGGATCTAGAAAGCCTCTGTAAAGAAGGATTTGAAGGCAAGTCATTTGAACTTGAACCAGGGAACCCCCACATGAATGATGAATGTGAGACTCTGGCAAGAGGAAGGGAAGATAAATCAGCTCTCTGGAAAGAGGCAAGTCCCTGATTGTCCCACATTTCCTGGTGATTCTTCCTCCAGCCAACTTCCCCCCCCCCCCCTGACCAGCAAGCAGACATGGTCACCAGGGACCTGTTGTTCATCAGGCAGGAGATTCAGCATGAAAAGGAACCATGGATGTGAGAATGTGCAGGGATATTAGACCATCTCCCACCCCCCAGGGGGATCCTCTGTCTCATTCACCCCCTGCCAAACCACTGGCCCCAAAAGACAGTCTTTCTAGAAGCGCTCAAATTCCCTCCAGGGTCTTTTCAGCTGGAGAAGAATTTTCCTTTTGGGGGGGCTGAGAGAATAGGGAACTTCATTCTGGGTTGCATGTTGTGCATGCTAAGCAGGGAGCAGTTTAATCAAGGCGCTTTCCAGGGGATCTTTCCAGGTTAAGCAACATTAACCAATCTTTTCCAGGGGCTCAAGTTTTCTTTCTTCTTGCCAGGCCAGGGAAGGTCTCTCTCACCAGCATTGCCTGTCTTGTTCTATTGAGGCAACTTCCAGCAGCCAATAAGCAACTTTTTTCCTCATCATCCAAGTTCTAGAAACTTCTGCAAATCTCAATGCAATGCCTCCTTCTTCTGCAAACTTCAAAAAAGTTCTTGAAAGGCTGTAATAATTGCTTCCATGAAACAGCAACATCCTCAGACACTCTGAACTAGAATCTCAGACTCACTGGGGAAAAAAATCTGGAAAGCTTTGGAAAATAATGAATCATAAGTAAAATCAAGACTCCCATGAATTTGCAAATGTTAGAATGAGGATTGAGCAAAATTTTGAAGCTCTGGAAAGTACCTTTCATCTGAAAATACTTGTTTGACTTCAGGCAGGTGAGCAAGAAATTCATTTTAAAAGATTGCAACTCATGAAATTACATTTTCTATTCCATTCAACAGTTGCTGAAATGCACTTCATAAGTTTTCCAGATCTCACTTTTTCAAAAGAAAGAATGCAGCATCAAGAACAGAATCAAAGTGCATGCCTGATTTTGCACTGGTGCAAAACTGTACTGCATCTTACCTTGTACTGAAAAACTAAATAGGTTGCTCACATTTTTTTTGGTGATGAGCAGGAATTTGAATAACTATAAACAAGTATCTGAGGTTTCTGTTTTCTGCATAAACCTCAGGACCATTCTTGAAGCCTAATCAGATACAATACTGATATGGAAATGTCTGAGTGACTTGAAGTATTTATTTTTGTCTGAATATTCTGCCTAGACCCCTTCTGCAAACTCCAAGTTGCATTACTGTATTAAAAATGGAGCACTTGACTACAAGTCACATGCCTCATTTTTAAAATTAAATGCTGATGCATAAAAACCTTGAATTTAACCCCAAAGGTCAGTTGACCACCATCACAGTCCTCTGTTAGGACTTAGGAGTCAGAGATCCCATTAAGCCTCCCAAAAACATGTTTGTTTCATTGTGAGTAATGGTGTCATCTAATAAATTTAGTGGTTTAAAGTCAGTCTGCTTTTAGTCTTGGGTCAAGCCAATTGATTGGGCAATAATCATCCCACAATCAAGGGGTTCAGAACCTCTCAGGTTCATGGAAACTCTTTCAACACTCCCACTTATTTTACTGATTTTAATTTAAGAGTAAAAATAGGACAACAAACAAAGTTGCAAAGTTCTGGAAATTTCCTTGCACCAGAAAATAAATGTTTAATTTCAAACAGGCAAGCAAGAAACTCATTCCACAAGAATTCAACACATCAGATTATTCTAATTTCATTAAATAGCTACACTTTCTTAATAAAAAAAATCTCACTTGAGAAAAAAGAGAGAATGATGATTTAACAAATTTTTCAAATTCTGGAAAGCTCCTTGCATCAGAAAATACTTGCTTGCTTTCAACCATGGGAAGCAAGAAATTTGATTTCAAAAGATTTCATCCCATGGCTTTCTTTTTAATTTGTTCAAATAGTTGCAAGAAAAATGGTGTTCTCTGAAAACTGCTCTGGAAAGTTCTAGAAAGCGTCATAAATTCCAACACACAAGCCAGCATATCTATGGAGGCAGTTGTAAAGATGCCCCCTGGGAAAATTCCATCAATACTTCAGGGCATTTTCCAGCAACAAAATTTACAATCAGCCCCACCCCCTCCCCCCTAACCACAAGTTCTTCCTCATTTCCCACACATTCAAAGTGAAAATCACACATATTCAGTCACATGGAGGGAATAGAGGAGGGAGAGAAAATGCAATCTGACCTGCTCCAGGGCACAATTTCCACACCCCCCTGAGCAAAGGCAACAACACCAGACCAGACCCCCCCCCCCCCCTGCTCTTTACACCCACATGCACTTCAAAGTCCCATTCTCCTTTGCCTCTAATGAACCCTGCTCTGGAAAATGAAACCCAGTTCAACCCCCCCTCCAGAAAGAGAATACAATCTCCTTCTCCCTCAGACTTCAATAATCATTGATTCCTAGGAATTTTCTAGAAAGCTGGAAAAAGAGACACACATCATCAGAGGAGATGACTCATACTCAAGTCAGCTACTATTGACACCCCCCATGTCTATCACAAGAGGTGCCAAGAAGGAGGGGAAGAATGGGGGGGAGAAAATGGAGCCTATTATCTTTCTGCTTTTAGTATCTGGAAAGAGGGAAAAAAGAAGGAAAGGCATGTGACAGAACAAGTCTCCCCCCCCTCCTCCCTGACAAGGTCTGCCACCCCAGGGATCCCCCTTCAGCAGGAATTATGCTCATTAATTCCTTGGCCTGCCTATTTCCTCTCAATAATCACCACCTTTCTAGGGGGAAGGGAGGGGGACAACAGAAGCTCTAGAAAGTACTCACCTCTCTTGTTTCTCCTCCTTGCTTCCTTGGCACACACTCTCACACCATCTGGAAAAACAGCAAAAAAAATGAAAACATTCTGGTTATTTCTCTGGAACAGAATAGAAGAAATAGGACAGACATGAGGTTTATTCATGATTCAAGAACACTTTCCAGAAGCAGCAGCAGTTGCCCTTCCCAGGGAAAAAACACTTGAATGCACAATGAATACCAAAAGAAGACACACCAGCCCCATTAATGATTCATTCCCTACAAAGAACTCAGTTAAATATTTACCCACCCCCAGCTCTATGGAAACAGCTCTAGAAAGTGCTTCAGCACAATGGCAATCATGAGAGACATAAACTTGCATTTTTCCCCCATCACAAGTCCAGGGCCCTTGGCTGGAATATAAATTTTCCAGAGAGCAACTTTCCACAGAGCGAGAATCACCACATGGGGAGAATCCTAAATGAACTTCCAAATGTATCTGGAAAGTTCTCCAATAACTTTCCATGGGACTGGAATGGGATATTTTCTCTTGGACTCTCAAAAAGCACTTATTCTCCCTCAACTTCTTTTCCAATATACAATAGATCCTGAAAGCAGCACTCTGTTCCCCAAAGAACTCAGTGCTTTTCATGGGGATATAGAATGCGTTTCTAGAAAGTTGGCAACCCTGGTGAGGGAAAAAACATATAAGAATTGTCAGTAGGCATAATCCAAAGAAATAGCACCAAGGAGGATTATACTGAGTCCAAGGAAAAGGGGTCATGAATAATCCAATGCAAAAAGCAGAGGGGGATCCCTTTGACATTCTGCAAAGGGATCCACGCAATCCAGGAATCACAGTTGTGTGGCACCAATTCAGAGCTAATTATTATTAATGACTCCCTGGTGTCTGAGCCCGTATTCATGAAAGGCCTGGAAAGGCAGGGTGTTCATTTCTCTGACAATAAAGGCAGGGGGTTAGCAGTAATATCTGCCACGGGTTGATCCTCTGGAAAGAGGCAAAGGAATCCCCCCATTTGTCTTGGTTTGCTGATCTCCCTGTGACTTCCTGGATTTCTCTGCCTCTGAAAATCGCACCACAGGCCTTCTGGAAAACCTTTGTGGCATCACAAAGCTTTGCCTTCACACCAGTGACACTTTCCAGAGAAGCCCAAACTTTCCAGGTTATTTATTAATGTCCAAAACTGAGGCCCTCCCTTGGCCAAAGAATCATATAACAATATATTGCAAGCAGAATCCCAAAAAATACCAAAAAGAAAAGTTTCCAGACAATATGAGTAACTTTTCAGAGGAATTCCCTCTAGAAAGGAGGACTACTGTATTTTGCATTCCTTCAACACAAAAAGGAACCAGAAAGAGGTGGGATTTGAATGTGCATTTTTCTTTCTAGGAAAAGGCAGAGGAGCAAAAGAAAAACATAATGTTTGTATGGATAAAGCAAGAGTTTCCAGATGACTTGTCAGCAAACCCGGGTGTCTAATTCCCAGGAGACCCTGGAGGCATCTCCCTCCCAGCATGCATGATCCCCTTCCTTTTTCTCCTTGAATAGTTCCTGAAATCCATTGGGGGGAAGCAGGGGAGGTGATGAGTCACACAGTCACTGACTGCTGGGGGATCCCGGGATCCCTTTCCTGCAGGGATCCTTCCATGTTTCCCTTTTTTCCTCACCATCATCACCACAGCCCAGGCTTTCCATGGGAAATTCCTCAGCAGTGGGGATATTGCAGAATATTAATTGTGGCCCAGGATCCCCTCCTATCCAAGGGGGATCAATCAATAATTCAGGGATCCTCTATTCACAGCTCAAAGCCAGATTCATCATGAGCTCCAAACCTTTGCAGGAATAATGAAACGTTTCCTCACACAAAAAAGGAAGTGGGTGATTACAGAAAACACAAAGGATTGACTCTGAGAAGAAGTCTTTCTAGAAATAAAAGCCTCTAGAGAAGGACGTTCTGCACCAAAAAAAATAAAGGTAAATGGGAAATTGCTCAGGAAGATTGCGTGCAGAGAGACAGTTTTTCCAGAACCTGCTTTCCCCCTTGGTTCTTTTATGAAGGGGGGGGGGGCAGCTGGAAAGAAGGGAATGGGAAGAACAGAAGACTTCCTCTGGAAATCACCCATTGTTTCCTTTCCCGGCACAAGTCAGCCCCCCATTTCCTCATTGTCACATCCCTGTGCGTCCTTCTGGAAAACAATCAATGCTTAAGGGTGATTGAGAAAAAGTTCTAGAAAGAAGAGGGGGGAAATTAATTACCCCCTCTTTTTTCTCTCTCTTGGCAACAGCCTCCTTTGCAAGAAAACTTTTTCCAGACAGTCCCAAGTTCTCCCTGCCAAGAAAATTTTCTCCCTTCTCACATAAAACTTCCTGGCCTTTATGGCAGGCATTTCTTTCATGTCTACTGCCCTGGAAAGGCTCAGGAAATGCATGAGGCAGGATCTGGTTTGCAGCTCCAGTGTTCTGGAAAGCATAGCTGGACCAAAGCAGGAGGGGAATGTAGCAAGTGGGGAAAAATATCCCGACTTTCTCCTTCTTTATAGGTACTTTCCAGATGTCTTGAACTGTACAGATGTTCCCCACTCTGCTGGAATAATATTTTCTTTTCAAATTCAGGACACTTCCTGCCCGTTTTCAGAGCTTAATTAAATTCTTCTAGTACTTGAAGAATGGGGTACTATTTTTTCACAGGATGGCACTTTGCAGAAGCACATTCTGACAAGAGCAGTCTGCTACACAATAAATTCCTTAAAGTTCAGACCCACAGCCCTAATTTTCACAGCAGCTCTTGATATTTTTTCCCTCTGAAAAAGCCTTGGGTTCCAGACTGGTGAAGCAGCTGGAAAGCTCAACTTTCCAGAAGTGATTCAAGCAGATTATTGAAAGTCAAGAATAAGAGGCAGTTACCAGATCAGTGCTGTCATTAAGATGTGAAATTATGGGCTCCAGCTCCAAGATTCTCATACTAATCTCTGGAAAGTACAGCTTTCCAGAATGAAGGCAAACAGCAGGTTTGATTGCAGGGCCTAAAGCTGAGTTTATGGTCCACAGTCACGTCTGCAAATACCAACTTCCCCCTGTGCTTTCCAGAACAGAGCTCCATGCACCCATCAAAAACTCATTGCTAGAACCCTGGGGCTTTCCAGCTACCATTCCTGGAGAGGAAACACCTCCAACTGCCCCCATTGCATATACACAGGCTGCACAAAAAACACATCTGTACCAGCTCTAGAAAATTCAGCACTTTCCAGCCAAAACAGGCTCAAAATGAATTCTAAGGATTTATTTTTAAAATCTGAAAGATTTTTTCATGAAGAGTTATTTGAAAAAATGAATCTTTGAGTTTATGCTTATATATTTTTGAAGTGAATGGTTCTTTCTATAATGAGGACTGTTTCTAGACAGATTTAGATTGTGTGGAGGCTTGGGTGGATTTTTTCTTCTTAAAAAAAAAGTAATCAACATTATTTTTTGGGACACCTAGTACAAGACCCACCCTGATGTAAAAACGTTTCTGCACTAGGCAGGAAGTCCTCTGATTGCACAGGGCCTCCCCCCCCCTCTCCCCTCTAGAAACTGGGTAAATCCCAGGGCACCATTTTGTTCCAATGCTGTCTAGATAATCTTTCCTTGGTTGCAGCCAAAAATCCAGGAGCTTTGCACTATCTTGCAGAATCAATTCTGACTTCACCCAGAAGTTTCTAGAGAGAGGACTGATACTTTCCAGCAGCTCTGGGTGATCTGATTAGAAGGCAAGATGCACATATCAAATGTTGTTGCAGAAGAGGAAAAAGGGGATTCCTAAATAGGCTTTGATGGCGCCTCCTTGATCTTGCTCTGCAAGCTTTCCAGTTTGTCTAGAAAGCTGCTTCCCCAAGGGGAGCAGGGCTTCTAATCTGATGAGCACAAATAAGGGCTGCTTTCTCTTGAAATTGCCCAAATCTGACAAAATGAACAGCACACAAACATGTTTTCAATCTCCTGATTTATCTTGCTTCTTCCATTTATCTGAAAATCCTTCTAGAAACTCAAACAAACACATTATCATCAATTTGCAGCATAACAAACTCACCAAGGCAATAATGAGTTCCACAAAAATGATTCAAATCAAAAAACTTTCTCATGTAAAAGCTTCTAGAAAGTTCCTCCATGACTGAATAGATGTAGACATTCACTTATGATGAACTGACATTTCCATCAAGTTTCCAGAGTTTTGAACAGATAATCTGAAAAGCCATCAAACAAATTCCCCACCTTCAATAAGAATCAATCTTTGGACAGAAATTACCTGGAAAGTAGAAGCATTCCCACATTAAAACTTTTGCAATGATTTAAAAGTGGTTTATTTGCACAGTTTGGAACTTGCTAATCATAGAAAATCATGCAAAATTTTCAAAAGATAAGAATTTTTAGGAGTGTCCAGAGAATCACATTTTCAATAGTGAACTTGAAAAAAATACTCTTTGATGAATGCAAAAACTTGGTGAACCAAAATTCCATCATTTGTTAATTTCTAGAAATATTCTAGAAATAGGGTTTGCAATAGTTCAAATGGCATATGAAAACTTGGAAAAGCAGAAAAATTTATTTGAAAGACCAAAAAGCCTTTTTGAAATGATTCTAGAAAGAGGCTAGAAAGGGTCTTGAATACATGAGTTTGTGGTAAACAAAAGAGGATACATTTTGAGTGTTGAATTTACAAAACTGAGCAAAATCTTTTTGTCACAAATGTAATGTATTCCAGAAACCCCCTGGAAAGGGAATACCCCAGCCAGGGGTATTTTATGCTGGGAATTTCATACTGAGATTGATCCAGGGAATATCCCCAGCAAAGGCCCAGAATCCAATTGGGGTCCATAACCCAATTCCTTGTCCCTTACAGAGACACCAGAAAGAAATCTTATTCAGCATCAGGCTCAGAATTATCCCCCACCTCACCAGAGCCTCTCTTTCTAGGGCAGGAAATCCTAACAAGATTCTTCTTTCTCTTTCTCTTTCTCTCTCAACACCAAGAAAAAAATAAAGCTGTCTCTCTCTCTCTCATTCCACATGCAGCTCACAAAAACTTTCCCCAGCAAGAAAATTCTGTTACCTGGTACTTTCCAGACATGGGAAAATAGCATTTCTCACACTTTCCAGAACCCAGTCCCATGATTCCTATCACGTTCCTCTTCATCTCAGGGGTTTTGAAAGAGAAAAAAAAACATGAGGAAAAGAAACAACAGGAAACTGTCCCCAAGGGAACATTTCTTTCCTCTGGAAACAGTTGTGTGTGGGGGGGGGGGGGGGGTATTTCCTGTTCTGCTTCCTTCTGGAAAGTAAAGAACAGGGGGGGGGGGGTTGGAAAACGTGATCTGCACACA